ATTTAGCTTGTAGCACAATCTGATGGGTAACACAAATCATTAAAACACTAGCTTTATAATCAGGACAGACGGAGTAGTGTTTACTAGAGCCATAGTTCTCTGACAAGCAACACAGTTTAATAATGTACAATTTAATAGATGTGATCCTGAAATCGAAGATAATCATTCTAAGAGTTGGCAGCTGTTTACATCACATCAGTGACCTGTGATAAACACACAAACAAACTAACTGATGAAATGTTGACAACATTTCTTTAGAAAAACGAAATTCATTACATTAAAAAAATCAGTAATGCTAAATTAATATGATAAAGGCACTCTAAATTTTATTGTTTTAATTACTTAAATTGTCATTTTAAAATTAATTGGATGAGACATTTTCTTATAAATACTGTATCTATCTGGAATATTATCCCCCATTTTATTTTATCTCGTATGGGTGGTTTAGAATTTCTTTTAATGTGTAATTACAAAATTGAAAATCTCCCGATCAAACTCTCTAAATTTCCCCAAGAAGTGAAACTTATTTGGAATAATGCCATTATCTTGTTAAGAAATAAGTCACTATTCTTTCATGATTGTTTTAATAATAAACTAGTATTAGTTAATCAGTTATTCTATAATGAAGGAACATTATTTACATTTACAGAACTTTGCAAGATTAGTTCCTATTACATTACAGGTATTTATGATACTAACAGGGGCAATACCGGCTGGTATAGTGTATGTACATCAGCGCTTTTTGTTTGTACTCCTGGACCTCAGACCTCAGTCGTTTTTTTTTTGTTTCTCTGGATTTAACCTAATAATATAGTAAAGTAAAGAGAAAGTAAAGAGGCCAAATGGAGGGAATCATTATTTATCCTTGCACAGATTGTCTGTTTAACTGTTTTCTCGCTTGGAAAGCGTTTAGTTTTTCCACTTACAAAGTCTGTAATGTAATAAGAAAATTTGCCATGGCGTGATGCAACTGACTCTTAAAGGGAATGGGAAATAAGACTCTGATTGGTTTAATGCATGTTATGCTCAAAACCCACCCATAACTCATTCATCAAGGCGCAGAGCTTAATTTTCTGTTCTTAAAATAGAAAAGTTCTTAAAGTGGATTTGGACACACCCTTAACGATTTTCCACCATGCCTTTAGACTTTGTGCCTGGATCATTAAAAAAGAGCCCCTAATATCACGACATCTATGGATTTTGATAAATTAAAGTGGCTATATTATAGTTAAAAGTTCCTGATTTTGTTTTAGGAGTCTAAAAAAACATTTTGTATAATAACTTAAGATTTGTTCTTATTGCACACTACATTTTATACTTTACTCCATGCTGAATTTATTATCTGGATGCTTCCACAATCCACTGTGCATTAGATGTGCAGTGGGACTCTAAAAATGATGTCACTTTCACAATATCAATTTGAGTTCTTTGTGGTGGATGTTGAGGATATTTCCTAGACATGTTTAGAGAATAACATTTAATCACACGTTTCTGTTAAACCTATGAACACAATAGCCAATCAGAGGCGTTTAGGTTAGTCACAGTTGAAACATTCGCATTGTTGGGTTTCCATACACTCCTCACAAACCACAAAGTGCGGAAACAATGTAATGCAAGTAAGAGACTCATTTAGCAGCTTCAGATTAAAAAAAAAAAAAAAAAAAAAAAACACTCATTTGGATTGCTTGATACAATGATGTTTTCGGGCCTTGTGGACAGGCAAACATTTTATTTACTTTTGTGCTTTACAGAAAAAAGTCATACAGGTTTGGATATAGGCTTAGGGTAATATATATATATATATATATAGTTAAATATACTTTTATTTTTGGTGATCTATCATTAGTGTTAATACCTGAGTGTTTGTGTGTCTTTTTGGGTGGAATCATTAAGAAGTGTTTGGGAGATAATTTGTCATTGGTTAAATATATGTGTTAATAACAGTAACTGTATTAAGGCCCATTCACACAAAGTATGATAACCAAGTGCAGCAGCGTTTCTCAACTACATTCTTGGTGGACCACCAACTTTGCACATTTCCCATGTATCCTTAACCAAACACACCTGATTAAGATCATCAGCTCATTAGCAGAGACTGAAAGACCTGTAATAGGTGTGAAAGACAAAAACATGCAGTGCTGGTGGTGCTCCACGCTGATGTACATGGTTGAGTAACACTAAAGGGCAGTATAACGATAACTAATTTCTTATCCACACCAGCACACTGTCTATTTGTTGAGTCGTCTGCCCCACCGAATTCTTTCTAGTTGGTTTTCAGTATTTTTAATCCATCATCAGCTTGATAAACAAAGTTTTAAATAGGGCTGGGCGATATGGCTACAATGCTATCTCGATAACTGTTTTCCATACTGAATGATAACGAAATACATTTCAATAATTTGTTAATGCTTCCAGGTTTAAGAGTATCTCAACAATGACTGAAGCCACAAAAATTAGAGGGTACAGTAAATGGCATAACATATGCCTCTTAGAAGGTGACACAGTGGTGCAGTAGGTAGTGCTGTCGCTGGTTCGAGCCTCAGCTGGGTCATCTGACGTTTCTGTGTGGAGTTTGCATGTTCCCCCTGCGTTCGCGTGGGATTCCTCCGGGTGCTCCGGTTTCCCCCACAGTCCAAAGACATGTGGTACAGGTGAATTGGGCAGGCTAAAATTGTCCGCAGAGTATGAGTGTGAATGAGTGTGTATGGATGTTTTCCAGAGATGGGTTGTGGCAGGAAGGGCATACGCTGCGTAAAAATGTAAAAAAAAGTCCAGAGCTTTGTTAATGTTATGTCATTGTTATTGACATAAATTTGATTGCGATTCAATATAATATTGTTTATCCGCCCAGCCCTAGTTTTAAACCAATTGTTACTGCTATAGTTGTGAGTGGACTCTGTAATTCTTATCATTATCATAATCTATGAGAACAGGCCTTTAGTCTCCCAGCACAAACTTATTCATGAAAAGTAGATTCTTTTGAACATTCATTAAAACAGTGGTGCATTAACAGTATCATAATATATTGTAAACAGATGAGAATCAAAACGCTAAGCCGAATAACATTCCATTTTAGGCCTGATAATCTTGTCTAGTTGAATATTTGTGTAATATTTCAAGCAACGCCAATAAACAAGAACACAACTGAAAGCCAGCACAAAACCGTATAATATTACAACGCCATTCAATTAAATTTGCAGACCTGTTTGCAACAGAAGTGTACAACACTTTTACAAATAAGGCAAAAGCACATACAAAATACATGTACAGAAATCTACAAGCTGATGTAGGAAATGATGTGGTGTATAATCACAGATTTGTTTACATATACAAAATCCTCTCCGTAATGTTATGCTACAAGTCACACTAAGTAGATCTACACGTACAGCTATAATCAAGCAGAAGTGCATGTCAATGTACTTGGTGATCTAGTGCCATGTCCTCGCTGCATTAATTAAATGTCTGAAACTATTTTAGAAAAAGGCACACAGATGCTTCACATATTGTAGTGCTGGTCTCATATAGGTAATTGTTCCATGGACCATGGAATGCTGCAGGAAACCCTTGTTTGGATTTGCTGTCCAATAAATAAGGCAACAGAGATTTAGATTCTGTACACTTCCGTTCAACCAGGGCTAATCACCAGAAATAGATTTTATAGTAAATTCAGACATGAATGCCACATTTACACTGCATAGATCAAGTGACCCAATTCCAATTTTTTCCTCCTATGTTACACAGATCGGATATGGCCCAAACACATGTAAGCAGGAAAAATTCCCATGGTGTCCAATACACTCAGATTGTTTTCAGGCCTTGTGAGGAAATAAAATCAATATGAATGTAAAGTGTAAGCAGGTAGACTGGATTTTCAACAGTCAATAAAAACCTCATCTTTAAAAAATGGCAGAAAATTACATTAACTCTGCTGATGGCAGGAGTCCTAAACCTTAAGGCTGCTTTCACATCTGTGGTTTGGTTCATTTGGTCTGGACCAAGGGCAACAAATGATACATTGTAGCTTCTTTTCACACCACACTGATTGCTTTTGGTTCGAACCAGTTGAAAAGAACTAAAATGCAGTCATGTGACAAAATCCAGACCACTCATTGGCCAGATGTTATTGAACATATTTCCTAAACTGCTCTTTGATTGGTCAGAATTAACATGCGGAAAAATGCCAATGGAACTTCTGCAAATAAACAAGCCGGTGGACACAAAATGTCACTTTTTACTATGGAGGGACAACTGCGCTGGCTGATTGTATCCCTGCTCATAGTATACTATATAGTTTGTATACATCATTTTAGACCAGGGGTGGGCAAACTCATTCCTGGAGGGCCGGTGTCCTGCATAGTTTTGCTGCAACACTAATCAAACTCACCTAAACATGCTAATCAGGACACCGGCCCTCCAGGACAGATTTTGCCCACACCTGCTTTAGACAAACTATACATTTCGAGAATGATGCGCGGCTGCGGCTGGAAAACAATGTTTTAATGCATTGCAAATAGCGAAGGCGCATTGTAAGTCACTTCAGGAGGAAGCATGAATTAATTTAGCTAAATTGCAACATGGTCATCTTCTGGAAATATTACTAGTGATCCATCAGGTACGGTTTTTCCAGCTTTCTCTTTCTGTTTAAAATTGTTGATAAAACGCTGTCAACAGATATTTTTCCTCAATACCCTGTAAGATGGGACAGCGCATCGGGCTACGGCAGCTAGATTAGTCCAAAAAGGCGCAGTACTTTTGTGACAGGATCTGTTTTAGCTCGGATCATGCTCTCACCACAAACAAACCGCTAAAGGGTTCATTTGGAAGCGTACCGAGACCACCTCATCAAGGAGGTCTCGGTACGCTTTTTGTCCACATTTGGTGCACACTTCAGTGCAATTGCTACATTCCCACCTGCCCAAATGAGCCGCACCAAGAGGGAAAATAAACTCTAGTGTGATTCAATCAAACTAAATAAGGCAGGTGAGAAAACACCCTAAATGTCACATATAAAGACAATTTTATTATGTAGCACACATAAATACATTTAAGCAGCGCAAAAGTGAGAAAGAAGCATTTGTCATGTAAACGATATAAAAGTATTGCATACATGATGTAACAACTATTTTGGTCAAATTGTGCATAAATTATACCACATGGACTTGACATTCAAATGCTTACTAGTCGAAAATTTAAATAGATGGCTATAGTGAACTTTTATTTAATATATAACAAATTAACTTTTCCTAAAAAGTATACAAAGAGAGAAATACAGTGCTCAAAGGTGCTGTGTGAGTGAAAAAGCTCTTAGTAAACTCTGCAAACGGATTAAAAAAAAAGAGAAGCATAGAATCTGCACCTGCGCTTTTTTATGCAACATAGACACATTCTAAAAACGTAGCCCTATATACATTTCAGGAGATCGCAAACTATGTAGCCAGAGGTACCTACAGCTGCATTTAGTCTGTAAAACGAGCTCTATGGGGCTGTATGACACCGTTCCTGACCTGCATGTGGACAGCTTTTCGAGTCCCATCGCTCGCAGTGCATGTGGGCGGACCTTAGACGCAAAGAGGAGTTGACTGCAACAATGCAGTTTGAGTCTGGCCAAGAACGATTCCAAAAAGCAGGAGTGACAAAAACAAAAGCCAAAAAATTAGATAAAAAAGTAAATAACAGGGTAAAAATATGGTAAAATCTGAAATTGTGGTAAAAATCATGGGGCTTTTTTTTTCTCGATTGCTTTTCTAAACGTGGTTGGGTGGTTCAATTGGTGCTTTTTAAAACACTATCGGTTGGGTTAAGCAAAGGGGGTGAGTGGGAGTATCAGTCGGTTGGTCAGTTATTCAGTCAACAGCGGCCTCTGATGGATTTACATGAGAAGAGCAAAAAGAGCACGAAAGGCACTCATAAGAGAAATTTGAGATCTCAAAAAGCGTACTTAGCAGCCTCTGGTGGATTCGTGAAAACAAAAACTGCAAAAAAAAAACCATAGCTCCTGGGATGTATTTGGCACTCTCCAGAAATGTATATCAGAAAAGTTTCAGAATGACCCTGGGTTGTTTTTATTTTAGAGTCAATGCATCTTTGTTGTTAATAGTGTGAATGTGGAAATCAGCAACAAGCTATTTTAAAAGAAGATGTAAGCAGTCCATCAAAAAACAATTGGGCACACTCAGAAAAAAAAATCAGAATTGATCATCAAGATCTGCAGTGTAAATGCAACCAAATAGACCCCAGAAAAGAAAATAACTATAAAGGCATGTACAATAACACTGTTTATCCAGCTGTCACAACTCACAAGGTTTACAAGTAGCTGATCTCCAGGGAGCTGTTCTTTTCCACCGGTTCCTCTGGCAGAGTTTTCACATTGCCATTTTTAGCCCCATTCAACAGGGTTGCAGCAGGTCCAAAGCCTGGTCCTTTACCAACCACATCCCCGCACGCACCTCTCCTGTCAGGGGAACAGACCTCTGAAACCCCTGTGCCCGAGGGTCTCTCTAAGAAAAGCGCTCGGGTACTTTCAGGCTGTCCGCTTCCATTTCCATTCTGAGTAATCCTGCAGATTTCCGTCATTTCTGTCACTTCTTCCCTGTATTCTTCTTCCTCCTCGTCTTCTTCATCTCTAACTGCTCTTCTAAGGCTTTCCCTTGGCATCAGCACTCGTCTTCGCTCTTCTTGATGCTGCTGCTGCTCGGTGGGCTCGTGGTTTTCGACCCTTCGAGAAGAGCGACACAAGGCCTTCCGGAAACCTCTCTTGAAGTTGTCCGAAAGGAAGCCGTAAACGATAGGGTTAGCGCAGCTGTTAGCATAAGACAACACCACAACGAAAAGATGCAGGCCTTGTGGTTCATCACGCAGCGACTCCACAAGGTTTATTATATTGAGGGCGTAAAACGGCATCCAGCAGAACACGAACACAGCCACGACAATCACTACCATTCGAGTGACCTTCCGCTCCGACTTACGGCGTTTGGTGGATGTTGCGTGAACCTTCTTTCCCGAGCTGCGGATCTTAATTACAATGAGCAGATAGCACATGCAGATGACCAGCAAGGGAAAGAAAAAGCCAACTGTGGAGGTGTAGATGATGAATGCTGCTGCCCAAACATTGGCTGGCTTCGGCCATATTATGTTGCAGATTCCACCTTCCCGTTGAACACTTGCGAAAATCACCACAGGTAAGACCACTAGAAAAGATACTGCCCAGATCGTTCCATTCACAGCCTTGGCTACTTGAGGTCGCCTCCATTTAGAGGAACGAATAGGGTGAACCACAGCCAGGTATCGATCGATGCTCATCACGGTGAGGCAGAAAATGCTGGTGAACTGATTAATGCCATCAACAGTCATGACGAGCCGGCACGTAAATGAGCCGAAGGGCCAGGAATGCATGGCATTCTGTACGGCGAGGAACGGAAGGCCCAGCATGAAGAGCTCATCAGCTATAGCTAGATTCAGAATGTAGATATTGGTCACCGACTCAGTCTTAGAGTAGTGCAGGACAATGTGAATGACTAAAGAGTTTCCTCCCAGGCCAACGATGCAGACGATGATATAAATGAGAGGGATGAGGATTCCTGCCATGCTTGTTTCTGTTCGGTTGCCCGCATCTGTCCCATTGGTGCAGTTCGAAACATTGAGGAAGCAGGTGTCATTGAGAATGCTCTCGTTGAGAAGAAAACCAGGAATGGAGCCATTGCTCCATATGTCCAGTGCTGCGGAGGCGTCTACTGAGGTCAGCTCCATCTCACTCTTATGCCGTCACTGCCTTCAGCTAGGGGCCATTGTCCTGCACAGAGAACAACCACAAACTATGACTTCTGTCTCAATGGACTCTCACATTCAATAAATGCTTAATTTACAGACAAAAGCACCATTGTTAGGGAGTTTGTTTCACATCTGAATTTAGCTTACCGCATGAATACATATAATAGACTAAACCAGGGGTTCTTAACCTTACTGAGAACTTTCTGAGTCAAAGAACCACACAAAGACCCACATTTATTTTATGCCAAACATGACAATGACATCTTTTGTCATTTCATTTAATAGTGAAACCCTATAATTGAGATTTAAATGGGCTATATGCATTCAGAAACCCTTATTCTTAGATACATTGGTGGCTGTTATGTAAACATATAAAAAAATGATACGAAATAAATAAAAACAAAACCTTTAAAAAATATGTTCATCAAGTCATTTCATTTATTGGAAACATTCATTCATTCATTTTCATTTAGGCTAAGTCCCTTTATGAATCAGGGGTTACCACAGCGGTAAACTGTCATCTTATCCATTTACTTTAAATTATTGGAAACATGAAATGTAAAAAAAAAAAAAAAAAAGTTATACTGATTGATTAAGCAAGGCCTAAAATAAGCAGGACCATACAGAGTTTAGATTAATTTGCAAGTATCAAATATCTGCATGTACTGTAAAAAAATAATATAATCAATCAAGTTATAAATGTATTGAGTTAATTGTAACTTGTTAAACTATGTTAGTCATGTTCTAACTTAATTTTATAAGTTAGCCAAGCTGTTTTAAGTCAGTTCAACATAAAATATGTTAATTGGAATACATAAAGTTAATTTGATTCAGCTTAAAAGTTTAAGGCAAACAGGATTGTTTTTTACAGTGTACGTGTGATCTGGCCTTTAATAATTCTTGGAGGGGGGAAAATTGGTCTACAGAAACCTGTGTGCTGCAGTGAAAAAAGAGAAAAAAGTATCTTATCAAAATGAAATATATGATTAAAAAAGAATAAAGAAAGAATGTCCCGCCCCTTTCAGGATTCTTCTTATTTGCTTTTAATTTGAGCTTGATCTCAAGAACTCTCACTGGCAGAGCTGTGATCTATGTCCCGCCCAGTCTTCAATTTTCAGTTCAGATTGCGTGAAACATAGAATAAAAAAGCCCCTTTTAAAGCACTTCACAGGGCATTGAATTAGATATTTATTACATTTTAAATTCTGAATATTAAATTTCATTATGTAACTGAGAAGGATTCCCAAACAAACCGGCACACAATATCCTAATTACAGGGTTGAATTTATTTAAGATCTTTGTCTAGATTGCTTGAAATATCAAATAAAACTCTAATCGAATAAAAAAATGTGCATTTAAAAGCACTTCACGGGACCTTTAATTACACATTTAATAATTTTTTAAATTCTGAATATTAAATATCATGATGTAATAATAAGCACCCAATATCCTTATTACAGGGTTGAATTAGCTTGTTCAGATCTTTGTTTAGATCTCTGACTTCTCAAATAAATTTTGACATGCCAATAGTGACTTTTTTCCAATTTAGTTTACATTTTTCTTCATTTTTTATAATGTTCCACTTCTTTGTGAATGACACCCCCATTTGACTTCAAAGCCTTCCATGCCAAATTCCTCTTTTTTTCACTTGTTTATCTGAAATTACTATGCAAAAGTTAGTGAGAAGACTGAAATCCTATTAGTAAAATTGTAACATTCTATTAGTATTACATAATAAATTAATTCAAAAGGACCTAGACAATTCTGTTATCTCTCATTCACTTAAGTCTGCTTGTCATCCCTACGTGGATATCTTAAATACAGTGCTCAATATATATATATATATATATATATATATATATATATATATATATATATATATATATATATATATATATATATCAAGACACTTCTATACAGCTTAAAGTGACATTTAAAGGCTTAACTAGGTTAATAAGGTGAACTAGGCAGGTTAGGATAATTAGGCAAGTTATTGTAATGATGGTTTTGAAATTTTGAAATATTTAAAAAAGAAAAAAAAAATCAAAAGGGGGCTAATAATTCTGACTTCAACTGTATATATTAAGTACATAAGTACACACCTTACAAATCTATTTTTTAAATTCATATTTTTAATAGAAAGCTCTAAAATATTATATTTGTGCATATACATTAGATTGGTCAGTACTAAAGCCAAATCTGGAGCTAATCTAACAAAATAACTTATGATAATGGTGCAAAAACTAGTACACACAAATGTTTATGTTATTGAAAAATATAAAATACAAATTTTAAAAAAGAGGAAAAGTCAAGAAGTTGAAATTTTGTAGGTTGCAATTGTTTTTGCAATATTTTGCTTGAATTTATTTGTATTATCTTTTAATATCTAAATATATTATGGTGACTAAAATTTCATTTTAATAAATTTATCTGTTTAATAAATCTGTTTTGTTTAAATGCACCAAAAATATTGCCAATATTCACTTCGAAATGAAAAAAAACAAAAATTCAAAATGGGGTGTGCGTATTATGCTAAGCACTGTATAGTGATATTATAAACATAAAATATGTAATATGCAGAAACATCTAAAAGAGAACTATTGGATTAAACACTGGGAAATGGATTGCAGAGGAAAAACACTGATGTGTTATAGTAAAACAGTTATGGCTCAGAGAGTTCTGGGTGGAGTTATTTTTGTCCATCAGGCAATCAGGCATGGCAATTATCCTTTGTATGTGCGATGCTCAGCAGAGAAAAACTGCCTCAGCAGTACCTTTAGAATGATTAGAATAGCAGAACTGCGAAACATTAGACAGCACTTGAAATATGGAAAAACAACATAAGGACAATGACAACACAAACAAGACCTTTTATGCTGGGAAAATTAAATTCAAAAACCTAATTAAAATAGAGCGAAAGAACAATGATGATAGTGTCACACAGGAAACAAATGCAACAATAGCAATGGCAATGAAAGCAGCTTTGCACAGTCCACACAGAGATGTTTGATTTGGCCTGTCTTGGTCTACATTTGCTAGTCAGACAGTTCAAACACCGTGCACTCCCACATGTGGCTTGTGCACCAAGGCTAATAATTGACATTTTATTAGCATCCGTGCATACTGGGACTCAGAACTGACTGAGCAGATGATTGGAAACCCATTCAGGGTACACGTGCATGCATGTTTATTTTGAGGCTATTCACTTGGCACTTGTTTATCGTACAGGAATAACTCACTCAGAAGTAACAAATCTGTCACACGGACAAAGATAATGGTGTGTGAATGGAATATAGAGTTAAAGTCAGAATTATTAGACGAAGCATAATATGGCTATTTAATCTATTAGATTAAGAAGTAATTAGGTATTAGAAGTAATTACCAATTGAATAAATAATATAAGCTAATAAGTAGCAATATCTATATCTATATATATATATATATATATATATATATATATATATATATATATATATATATATATATATATATATATATAAATAAATACATAAATAAAATACATAAATAAAAACAATAAATAAAAGAGTTAAAATAAAAGATTACTCATATGTTATATACCGTATCGTTTTTGAGACCAAAATAGTACTTTGTTGTAACAGATATGAGAAAGTAGGATCAGGTAGTTCACCATGTGTTCTATATCTCTTTGTTGAAATAGAAAAGTTTGAGATGCAATGTATTCACACCTGCCCGTCTCCATTTTCATTCTCTCTCCTTCTCAATTACAGCCAGAAGGAGAGAATAGGGGAGATAAATTGACTCTAGACTGATGTGGCACTCGAACAGAGAGACAGGGGAAAACATGCAGAGATGAACTGCTGTCACCAGCCTCTACCTGTATCAAGAGGTTTAATGTAATCTAGGATGAGATTTAACCATAAATTAAGAACACTGGATACCAGAAAGAACTCTGTGTACATTAGCCAGCTTTTTATTAAAGAACAACTGCCTGTTTTGTTTAATTATAAATCTTTTCCCAATGACTTTCCATCTCCAATGACTATTACTATGCCTCATTCTTTTAAGCTTTTTGCAAATGAACGCAAAAGACAATATTTGGACACATTTGAGAGGCAAAAAAAAAAGAAAAAAAAAGAGTCAGATAATGGTGTTATGTTATAATAAAGGCTAATATGAAAATATATTTAGATTTTTAAGAATTGTCTTCTAAAACAGATGAAAGTACTATTCAGTTTCAGTGCTGAAATGGTAGGAAAAAGTTATGTGGAAAGGAATAAAAGTGTAAGTCAAACAAAGAGAATAATAAGTGAAAAGAGATAAAAGTGAGAGAAGAAAGGCTGTGATCTTTTAAGTCTCTGACATTCACATAGCTCCACGAGCTTAACCTTCATGATTAAATTGCTATCCAAATCATCAAAACCCCTTTTTTTCCCCTTAAATCTAAATTGCTTTAAAAACGTATCACATGATCAAATGATTGATTTCATTAGGACGTAGTGTGCAAGCAGTGCTTTTTGCAGAATTCAGAAGTTAATTGGTTCTTTTAAAGTAACAAAGATGAATCAGAGAGAAAAAAAACTGCTTTAAACTGTTTCATAATGACACGCACGACGGGCTGATTTTGCAGCATTTATAGTATAAAGAAATCATTAACTAGTGCTTGTATATTTCAGTATTAATGGCTAATGTTTATTGTCTGTTTATATGAGCTCTGTACTAGAATAACAATTCTCACTTTCCTAGTCAATTTTTGTCAACAATTACAAATAAATATAAAAACACATTGGCCACTTTATTTTTATGTGTAATTCATGCCATTAACAATCCTTTAACAAACCATTCACTAAAACTTTTTGCTCAATAAACTACTGATTAGCTGCATATGTATAGTAGGATAGTATTTAGGTTTTTGCATTGGGTAGAACTAAGGATGTAATACAAGATATGAGTGTAATTTAACTTCTATTCAGCTTAAAGTGACATTTAAAGGCTTAAATAGGTTAATTAGGTTAACTAGGCAGGTTAGAGTAATTAGGTAAG